CACTGGTGACGTTCTCGTCTACAATGCTGTCAAGGCGAAGCGCACCTCAAACGAGCCTATTGACTCATGTGTGATTGGCTGTTTGTTGCAGGTCATACTTTTAGCTGAATGTGTTTCATAGTTAATCTGAAGGGTTAAACCTGGTGAAACATTAAAATCAAGTGTTGTGGAACGTCTTACTTAATCTTAACCAGGTTGGATTTATTAGGTTTTGTCAACCCTATATTTTACTCTGTAACCCAGAGTTTGTTCAACTTGTTTTGCGCAACAGGCCTCAGGAAGTGTTGATAAAATTCAAAAATATCAATTAGAAAGAAATTGATGTTTGTAGTTAGAATGCTGATAAAAGCATTTGAATGTAATGCTAAATTGAAGTATTGGGCAGAAAACTACCTGTTCAGGTCAGATTTTGCTTAGGCTGTTTTTAAAAAAAGAAATCCAGGTAACGTATTTACACAACATTACACGTAGCATCTAATTTAGCATAATTGGTTAACGACACATGCAAGTCTGAATGCCACTTGCCCTGTGCAGAAATGCTCTGGTAAGCAATTAATACACTTTTTGAAGTTTATTTATAAACTAATTTTGAGAAGATCACGTGCTCATGATTGCTTGCAGCCAGTCCCGCATTATTCAATTTATGATTCACCAATCAAAAGATTCCTAAGCCACTATAAATACCCTAAGTTCCCTATAACAGCCATCTTCGATTTGAAGAATCCCCCCTTCCACCCCTACTCCTCCTTTTCTAGATGGGTGGCACGGTGGCCTAGTGGTTAGCACTGTTGCCTCACAGCAAGAAAGCCACTGGTTCTAGTCCTTACCAAGCCAGCTGACGTCTCTGTGCGGAGTTTACACGTTCTCCCTGTGCTCACATGGGTTTCCCCCGGGTTCCTCCCACCGTCCAAAAACATGCACCTTAAGATAATTGCCTAATCCAAATTAGCACCATAGACATGCTCCTAGTAAGTAATTCTTAAGAGCAGTCATTATCTGTTCACTAGCTACTACATCAGGGGAGTTCTTGAGATCTACCTGACCTCAAACTCCCCTTTCGCCTTGCAAACTGGAGGGAGCCCCGGACTAGAGGATCTTATGAGCTCAGGGCTCTCTCCCGGGACAGCATGCCAAACAAGCTTTATAATCAATCATCATTGTAAACTCTTGAAGTATTTATTTTGAATAAATCCACAATTCGCAAGATGTATGTTAAGTTTGTAGTAAAATCAAAGAAAAGTTTTTAAAAATAGAAGGGAGGTCTCACTTTTGAACTTTTATTCACTTTGAATCGTCCTACTCCTTTTTCATAAAGTTATTAAATTATTTCTATCCATTAAATAAAACCCACTGCAAAGTATTGTTTCAGAAATAGTAACACAGAGCAATGCAGACAGAACACAGCAGATTAAATGCTTGTTATGCCATCAGCTACAGTATGTGCATGCTGCTGACTACAATGTTCACTCAACCAAAAAAGTATAAATTGGGCTTTATTGATACAGTAAATCCGTAGAAAAAAATGCTAATTTGTGGACTGGAAAGGCATCTAACTGTATTGTGGTGGCTTAATGATATTGCTGTTTTCCACATCAGTTTTGTTGAGAATATCAGGGCTATTTTTTCAGGCTTTAAACTACTTCAGATCAACAAAACATTCACACTGAACTCGAGAGCTGTTTTACAGGACTTCCTAACACTTTAGTGGTCTTGTGACTGAAACACAGTTTTCTTAAGCTGATAAGTGATTTTGTAGCCTCACCTGCCAGTTCATTACCAGAAAGTGTCATATGACCTGGAATCCAGCAGAAAGAGGTTGATCTGGTTATTCTCCGTTTGAGGTCTGTGCAAATTAAAGCTTTTCGGTGCTGTGTCTTTTGTATTTGTTCCAAAGCCAGGTTTATTGCAAAAACATCAGCTAGTGTTCTCCGAATACTAAAAACATCTTGTTTAAAGACAACTTTAAACAAGTGTGTCGCCACTGGCTTGCATGGTTCAGGATTGGTAGAGCTATGCATCGATGAATTTGCTCTTCAGTGTTTGAACTCTCAGTAATGGTTAAATCACACTGAACTGAGCTAAACTGAACTGAACTTAAACACTAAAAACTGAACTACCCTGTTCCAGTTACTATGACCATTTATGTGAAGCTGCTTTGACACAATCTACATTGTAAAAGCGCTATACAAATAAAGCTGAATGAACTGCTGCAGATACTCCCTTTGTCTTTTTTGGTCCACCTATTATGAGGAAGATGAGCTACAATTTCCTATGAGTTTGATCCTTTTGTACTCATTTGGAAGAGTAAAGTCTTTCTGTTTGGAAAAACAATTCATACTCATTTGGTTTGAATGTAGCTAACCTATGGAATTAAAATGGGATCCTGCGTTGACATTCTGTCCTACTGAATTCAGGTGTGTTTCCATGCTACAAACTGTATGAAAGGGTTTGGTCTTTTTTACTTAGTAATAGCTATTAAAAATACATTTGATCACCATGAACTATTATTTCCTACATTTGCTGGTCACTTGCAGGTGGTACCTAAAGGAAAAACGTTCTCCTTTTAGAAACCATCTTAATAACAAAAATCAACACATATGGTGCACGATCATCAGTAAGTTGCTATTTGCTTCCAATATGTGTATAACTGCACGTTCTAAATGCATTGCAAATATCTGTACAATGTGATTTTGTCAATATTTAGAAGTAGGGTCTGTTAAATTGTAAATTTGACAACCTTTTTTTAACCTTGGTCTATGTCAGGGATGTCAAACTCCATTTGTCAGGGATGTCAAGCTCAATTCCTGGAGGGCCGCAGCCCTGCAGTTTATTTCCAACTCTGCTCCAACAAATTTACTTGAAGGTTTCAAACAAGCCTGAAGGACTCAATTAGTGTGATCAGGTGTGTTTAATTAGGGTTGGAACCAAACTGTGCAGGGCTGCAGCCCTCCAGGAATTGAGTTTGACCTCCCTGGTCTATGTGCTAACAAACTCTTAGTGTCTCTTCATGGGTTTTGCCTGTCCATGTTTGTCTGTATGCCTCCCTTATATGACCGTGTTTGGGTAAACAGGTAGTTCTTCCTCAAACTCACACTATTGGTTGACATCATAGCTTTTTAACCAACAAAGTTTTCAATGTGCCAAGAGTCAACATGTTTACATTATTTCGGAAGTCAACCACAGGGTGGAATACTTATAGTTATATTAAACTGGAAGTTTAATATATTTGACCTTTCAAGGTCTACAACAGAAAACAATGAAACACACCAGCGGTAACACACCACTCAATCTACGGAAAAAGCAATAACTCTACAGTCTAAATTCCGTGATCAGCCATGCAACTCTGCTTAATGAGGAGAATACCAGCTACTTACAGATCAAAGACCAGGGGCAAAATGTGTCACAATATGTAGGTAGTAGGTACAACACGATTTTATACAAAAAAAATTAATTGTTGTCATACTTTTCTAATCAAATATTGAGGAAAGAATACCTGGGAAAACCAATAAGGAAAAATTTGGCCCTCGATGTTCAGCACTTCAGAAAAAGTTGCACCAGCCAGATAGTTCTGGGTAAAAAGCAATAGGATGACACTAGATATGCAGAAGATGTTAGGAATCCCATAGTGTAACTATTTATCATAAAGTCTGATGACAAACGTTGATGTTGACATAGAGAGGAAAATGCCCTGAAGGTATGAAACAATTGTCTAAGCTTCAAGGTTGAATGTTTTATTGTCAGTCAGTCAGACGAAGACATAAAACCAACTGAATCTCACACAGACTAAATTATATGATTTCTGACCCCATCTGACTGTCATTACAGTAAAAAAAATGTATATTTCACATCAAACATCTCATAGGACCACTAAGAAATCACATGAGCATATTTTCAAGCACTGCTACCAAGTCTTAACAATTGTTAAGTATTTTAGCATGTCACTTTTTTGGTGTTATTAGCATGAATTAACATGTTCAATAACATTACCAATGTGTTTTTGCATTGTTTGAATGTTGTCAGCGTCTTTTATCAAGTTGAAAAATAATAATTTGTATGCTGATAGCATTTTTTTTTTAACATTTAACATGTTGCTAGCATATTTGCAAGTAGACAGCACATAATGAAGTTTCCTAAATAGGACTTAATGAGAAAACTGCAAGGTGTTTGTTAATTGAAATGTAATGTAATCATGAATTAACATCACACTATAGTGTAGTGCAGTGGAACTATATCTGTATATTTGATCTTTTTAAGCTGTAAATGACTTAAACATGAAAAGCTTCTATAGAGTTGAGAGCTGCAGCTGAAAATAATTAACTGCCTAGAAATAACCATGCAATCTGTTACGAAGTTATTTAAAAACAATACCTTGTGCATTTTTAATATATATATATATATATATTTTTTTTTTTTAATTAACCCTAACATTGCTTAGCTTTTTTAAATCTCTTTATGAGAATATCTATAATAGCTTGTCTAACCTAAAAATGAATTGCCTGCATTTAACAGATCAATTTACAAAGTATTTTACAAGTTTACAGATCTATATCCGTCATGATCGAGTCTGTTCTGGCTTTCTTCTGGATGACATGAAATATGTTCTTGAATTTCCTGTGATTTGTCTCATTTTGATTTGTTACAGCAGAACAACGATGATCAACTCACCATACGTTCGGGTGTATTCCAAAGATAATTTGATCTTAAACTGGCAAAAATATATTTCGCAATGTAAAGTTTGCAAGACATTATGCTTCGAATAACATATTAACGTTTGCTGCAATTGTAATCATTTTATCATCTGTTCAATATTCATTTTTTGGGAACAGCAACTATCAAACTACACCAAGATCAAAATATTGCCTACTATCGCACACAAATCAAGCGTGCAACCGTGTTTACAAACATGTACACGATTATTTCCTCTGAACAAAATAACACTTCATGAGAGTAAGGCAGAACAGAAATAAACACACAATACATTCAGTCATTTTGACACTTACCGTAGCTCAGTTCAGTGGGTGTAAGTTAGTGGGGAGAAGCAAACGGCAAAAGAAAAGCACCCGTGCTGCTGCCAACATAAACCGATCTGTCGATGGCAATTCTTCACAATAAAGTTCTCCTTGTAACTGTCACCTCATGAACTGTTTTATTCTTGGCTTGAATGTTCTGCAAAACTAACGTTACCTTTTTATTTTAAAACAGTCGAACTCAGAAACCGACCCTTTACTTCTATAACGTTACGCGTAAAATAAAGCAGAATGGTGGGAACGCTGGAGCGCAACAGTTTCTCCGTTACGCGTCCACATAAGACATTTACGAAATCTACTATGGCAGAGACAGTTGCTTATGAATATTAATTCAACCTAACTGATGTTGCCTGGTAACCTTCCGGTAGAGCCTGTTTACGTAAGACGATAGCGTTAAAGAGAAAATTATTTAGCAAATCACCGATAGAACGTCACCTTGGCGTGATTAATATTAATGTAACAGGCCTACGCAATAGTAGGACGCTCGTCTCAATTATGTTTACAAGAGCGCCGTCTGTCGGTGAGATACCATACGTAGCATACGAACACCACCCAGTTCACAGAGGGGTCAGTATGAGGGATTACAATTTTCTGCATTAGTTTTGTTCTTGCGATAGTTAAATTAGTGTTGGCAGCAATAAAAACGTTAGTTGCTTATCATACAATAAAACTCTCATAACTCTTTTATACTGTTGCATTTCTAGTCAAACAAACCACCCATGATTAAATTTACTATTCAAATACTGTCATTGATATACAGTGCCTTTAGAAAATCATCATAGCCTGTGAAAATATCTACGCTTATTCACATTACACCCTGCTTTCAAGAGACTTTAAAAAGACTGGGGTAAAACTGTAGAGGCAAATGTAGAGGCTACTAAAACATTTCAAATGAAAGACAATTTATTTTGGATGTGATTTCATTTCATGCTATATTACAAATAATGTAGTTATTTCAAAAGAGTATGATGATTTTCTATTGTGTGTTTTTTGTATCTAAAAGACGTTACCCTATATACAATAGCAGTCAAAAGTTTGGGGTAAGTTTTTTTTTTTTAAGTCAATTATTCTGTTCATCAAGGCGGCATTTATTAAACTTAAAAAAGGCTAAATGTTTATTAAAATTTTACATTTAATTAAAAACATTTGTTCAAGTTAAATGATTATTCCAGTCATTTTTGCTTTTAATACTATTACCATTAAAAATAAGAATAATAACTAATACTAGAGTGAATTCTAAATGATAAGGTGACTCTAAAGAATGGAAAAATTAAGCTGAAAATTCATCTTTAAAATCACTGGAATAAATTATTAAATTATAAACTAATTTTAAAGTTATTTTCTAGTGCGATAACATTTTACAATTTGTACTGCATTAATCGTGTATGGCCATACACCCAAAGAGCTCCACATACATGAGCGGGGTACCCTCTCTACACCACCCCCAGTGTGCAGCATCCACTTGGACGGCAGCCACAGGACAGCGGCGCCAGTGCACTCACCACACACCAGCTGTAGGTGGAGTGGAGAAACAGTGGTAGAGCCAGTTCGGTGATTGAAATGATTAGGAGGCCATGATCGTAAGGGCTGATTGAGGGATTTTGGCCAGCACACTGGGGTTACATCCCTAATGTTTTTACGAAAAGTGCCATGTGATTTTTAATAACCACAAAGAGTTTAATGACCTTTCAGTTTTATGTTTCATCCAAAAGACGGATAAGGATAAGATTATTTTAAAATATTGAAAAATCTACTGACCCTAATCTTTTGATTGGTCGTGTATATTGTGGCCAAACTGACTCGATTATGCATTTGTAAATAGTCACAGCTCCAAATAATTTCTCCCTGTAATTTGTGTGCATTTTGAATTCAACATGTTTCGCCTTGCGCATTTAACTTCCAGTGTTAAAATTATGTTTTGGTAATCGCTAATTTTCCAATTTATTTTATTTTATTTTTTACAATTTGCAACTTGTGAGATTAGCGTAGAATTTATATTAATAAAAAATACACAAAAACAGGCTGTCTATAAAATGGGTTGACTTTATTGCTTAGAGAATACAGCTTTTGCAAAGGCATGTGAATACGTTTCTCAACTACACCATACCAGTCATCACAAGATATGAATTAACCACACATTCACAACTTTTACACATTGCACCTGGAAAAAACAAAACATAATCTGCTATCAAAAAATTGTACAAAGTGTGAGTTACAGAGAGCTCAGTGATGTCTGCAATTAAACGCTCTCATGTCATATAGAGAACAAATACCATGAGCAGATTTCTGAAGCCTATCCGGTGACTGATTTGTTAATTATTTTTTCATAGTTTCATCTATCTTTGGTACTATGAGACAGATATTATTCTGCACGTGTAAATCTTTTCCTCGGAATACTGTTCTGAACACAGGGCAGGTAAAAGCCTATCTACATCATCTTTATCCTTACTTGAAAGTAAAAAAAAAAAAAACGAACCAAAATGCAACATCCTACATTACAAATCACGTTCTCTGATATCGCTCAGCAGAACAAAGAGAAATACAGAAGTGGGGATGAACGGCTGTAAAAATCAGTTACCAAAAATGTTCCCCAATTGTGTCTCTTTAAGCTATTTTACAAAGACAAATATAAGAGAAATACGCAAGTCACCTAAAACAGGACGCAGCGATTCAAAACGCCAGCTCCTGTATATAACCAATGGCGTGCCTCGTGTCACAGCCACATCACATGACTAAACATCCTTCCCACACACATACACAAAGAAACTTATGACAACTGGCTTTAATTAAATCACAAAAAAATAACTGGAGTTTCAAGAGCTAATGATTCTAGTTAACAAGTGAACTGACGTGAACGTAGCAAAAAATAAAAACAAAAATGAATCACAGGAGATGACCCATGACTGCTTCTAAACCGTCAGTTTATACTGCTGATCTGGGATTTTAAAAGTTTATATAGGAGACAATACTGCAGAGCTTCTTCTCTGCTAAGGTTTACGGAGGGCTGAGTTGTGTGTGGGAGACAGTACATGTCTGTATGTATGTATATATATGTATACATATATGTATATATATATATATATATATATATATATATATATATATATATATATATACATATATATATATACATATATATGTATATATGTATATATAGATATCTATCTATATATATATACATATATATGTATATATAGATATCTATCTATATATATATATATATATATATATATATATATATATATATATATATATATATATATATATATATATATAATTTGTAAATCTATCCGTGTGCTTCAGCCAAAGCCTGCCAGGATTCACATGTCGTCCTCTTCATCTTCATCCTGGGAAGATCCGGCCTGCTGAGTGGAACTGGCCGAAGCCGCAGCTAACTGTGCCTGCTGGGCGGCCTGCTGCATCTGTAACCACTCCTGCTGTGCCAGTTCAGCCTGTTGCTGCCGTGCCTAAAACACAGCAACACTCATCAAAAGCCATGTGGAAGCTTGTTAAACAAATATGATGACAAATTGTCTATTCAATTTGTAGGCAATTTACAGTGTTGCCAACTATTTTCAATGAAAATGTGCTAAGCTCTGCTTACATCAAATACATCAATTTGCATTTTACTGACATCCTCACGTCCAGTAGTTTTTGTTTAGCAGTCTATGGTTAATAACAGGTTATTTATATTTACACTAGGCTTTATATGTGCAATATATGTCAATTTAACTAAATGTATTGTTTGAATACAGTATATCAATATAGATGTATAATGAATTTGCAGTAATCTCCCAGACACAATAAACTCACAAAAGTTCAGAAACTCACTAAAATCTCTCTGATTGTGAACAAGAAAAAAAAAAAAAACAGCCAAATTAAATTGTTAAATTTAAAACAATGGAGAAGCAGATCGGTTTGACTAACTTTGCAAAGAAAATGAACACCACTGGCTGCTAGTGTGCTGATGACATCACTGACAGCGTTTCAAGCTTCCAAGGGAGCATTTAAAAACATAGTCAATTAGCTGAGCAGATTGATAACTCATCTGCAAGGTTCAAGTGAATAGACACAGAATTTTTCATTTTTTTAATTTAATAACTCTGAAAAAAACTAACAAATCCTCAACACCTGGACATTTCCTAAATATCTGTGTATTTTTTTTAACATTGATATTTTTTTAATTGACAAAACAGTAAAGAACTGAGCATTTCTACCTTTAATTACCGTATAGGTCAAAATGACTGCATGCATGCCAGTTACTTTTCACTGTGACTGTAAATATAAATGCATTTTTTGCCTAGCAACTTCCTTCTAACATAAACATAACTTTCTGCTTGCAAAAACTCCAGATATATCTTTCAAAACTGCATTTTCTGTGTCATGAAATTGCTTCTGTTTGAAAGTGAAAATGAAGGCCCAGACCTTTGCGTGTTCTAGTATTTAACTAAATATTTATAAGCTGTATTACTGAAAAAAATAAAAGTTTAGGGTAATGGTGTGAAAATGTTGACAGGCATTCAAAGGCTAATTTTAATATCTTAAAAGAAGTTTAGAATGTAAATATGATGTGACAATATGATGTTTTATATGAGAATGGTCAGAATGACCAGTATACAGAAAAAGCAATGATCCAGTTACAGAATTCTAGTTCCACTGTTATTACAGCCTATTCTCGTGTCTGTGTTAACACAAAATGAAGCGAGTGCATCGATGCCCATTCTGGCCAATCACAGACATTTCTGTTGAGCTCCTGAGCACACGTTCAGCTCATGCTGATATGCTCTCCCTCATTGGCTGCAGCTCATCACTTCATATGAACGCACGTGGGGTCGAGTCGGCCGACTGCTCTGGAATATTCAGCATGCTAGATATTGTATTTCTGTCTGCGAGGTGTCAGCAAGCCTTTTTGATCCGTTATTCAGTAGCTCATACATAAGACTGCAGAGCGCCGAGCACCAGGAAATTTTTCTCCCGATCACAGTCCGATCTGTCAGCAAGCTCGTTAACTTTCAAATCGGGCTCAAATCAGGCTTAAAATCCTTTAGTGTGAACTAGGCTTAAGAGTCCATAAAAAATCTCCAGTAACACCAAAAAAAGTTGCTAGATTTTTTGTTAGTCGCTTTTTTTTTTTGGAATATTTGCCGCTAAGGGGGTCTGAAAAGTCACTAAGTTGGCAACACTGGTGATTTAATGTAATTTGTGTACCTTTTTGCATAAAAAAAAAAAAAAAAAAAAAAAAACGAGAAGGCACCAACTGCTAAGCTAAGAGTGAAATCTTTAGAATTAACCATTCGGCATGCATTTTTACCTTAGCAAATAATTCCTGTTGTTGGCGGAGAAGTTCTTCCTCAGGAATGCCAAGGTTCTCTAGTCGAGAGCTGGCCTTTCTTCTTTTAAGTGCTACAGTTTTACACTCCTGCAGAACGTCTTTTACTTCTGCGATGTATGACCCAAATCCTAGACTTTCCAGTGCTTAAAAAAGAAGAACACATATAATGTTATTTAAGAAAAAAAGTATATTTAAGTGAAAAATTGTAACTACAGTGAACAAAAAATATTTTTCAGAACAGGAAAACAATTACATCCATCCATATGCTCCGTAGAAGCGAACTTCAAGGGATAGTTCACACAAAAATAAAAATAAAATTTGCTTAGTTAAAAGGCTGTTTCAATCCACCCTCTGTGATGTATATTATTTATTTTGGTAACAAGTAGCCACTGATATACATAGTAAGAAAATATAAATACTACGGAAGCTAATGACTACCGGTTACCAACATTTTAAAAAATAGATTTTTGCATTCAGTTGACAAAACTAAAAGGTTTAGAATAAGTGAAAAATAACTTATTTTAGACTGAATATTGTGGACATTGATACAGTTGGTCAAAGATTTGAGATTCGAACTAAAGGCTTTGAGATTCAAACTAAAGGCTTTGATATACTTTAAGTGAAGTAAATTGAAAAACTGATGTGGCAAAAAATAAATCAGGTCAAAACAGAGTTTGTGTGGTATTTGCTTTATGAGGCCAAAGCAGCTTGTCATTGTAAACTTCCCAGAAGATTTGCTTCAGCTGGTAAACACCTTCCCAACAACATTTTCTCCGGCAGTTATGTAAAACTGCATGTAGTTTGACTAGGAAATTTGTTCTAGTTCATTTCCGAAAGTAGTAACAATCAATACAGAGATGCTTGTCAGTAGAATTTGATGTAAAATTATAATTAACAGCAAGACTGACAGTTTTCTCCATTCTATGCAGTTTTAATAGCAATCATCTGCATAACGTTCAATAAAAATAAGCATGACTTTACTGGCGTCCTCAAAATGAGTGCTAACAGCCACATTGTTTTGTTAAATGCTGATTTCTCACTTCATAATTTAAACAAACTGACCTAAATATTCTGTAATGTTCCGACAAAACACTGTTCAGGTGTTTATCAAATTTGTTTTACCCAATTTTCTCACTTGTAGACCATGTGTATTGTTTGGGGGGAAAAGGGGTTACTGCTTTTACTATGTATCAATTTCTTCTAGGTTGAATTTGAAGATTAAGCTCATATCAGCTAGTCTAAATCAGTGTTTCTCAATCCCGTGCCCCACCAGTCCAAACATTTTGCATACTCTTATTTAACACACCTGATCTTGATAACCAGCTCGTTAAATAAGCTCCATGCATCAACCATGTTAGAATTAACAGGTCTCCACACAGTGTGCATTACTCCCTACTCGCTTTTTCTTCATTGAGCTCTACCTGAGCACAAAATACATTTATTTCACTTCGGAACACTCATTCACAGATTTGCACAATAGCATTGCCTAAATGCCTGCAGAGTCTTCTTACTTGAGATGTGACATGCCTACATAAATATATTGTACATTAGGCTTGGGCGATATTACGGTATTATGGTATACCGCAGGATCTAAAAATAGCAACGGTGTCAGTTTCAATACCGTTATACCGTCATAAAGTATTAAATATCCTTTATTTAATGCCTAAAAAACGTGTGTGTGGTTGTCATCACGGGACAGTGTGGAGGAGAGAGATAGAGGAAGAGGGAGTGGGAGAGGGTGAGAGGGAGAGGGAGGGGGAGAGGGTGAGAGGGAGAGAGGGACAGGGAGACGTGACGAGTCGCGCTTCAAAGTGTCCTGCAGTTTGGCAGTTTAGACTGAACAGAAGGGAGACGTGGTTAATATGAACGAGAGGTCTGCATTAGAGCTGAAGATCTTTGCCCGAACCCGGCGAGACCCGAAAAAATCCAAATCCCTGCATTAAAGTCCATCCCTGCAAAGGTGAAGCAAATAGTGACGAAGTAGTAAAAAAAGAGAATTTTGAAGGCGGTCAAGCCAGTCAGAAAGAGCGGTTATTCCAGCCGTATTACGGTAGAGCCCTAAACCGCAAGCTGACAGGTAAAATGACGAGGCCACTCGCTACCCTGAAACTACGGTCATGGAAAATTAAATGGATGTTCCTGACTGGTATAAGATGAATAAACAATCCTACCCAAAACTTGCAAAATCAGCCAGATCAGAACTCTGCATCTCGGCCTGTAGCAGTAGCAGTGAAACGGTGTTCAGCTGCTGGACGCACATGAGCGCAAGACTGCGTTAAAGCCAGTGGATTTAATAATGTTCCTCCACAAACACACGTAGCCTAATCTTGGTGAGTAAAGGGTTTTAAATTATAAATAAATATTAATTAAACCATATAATCATAATGTAGACAGATTATACAGACTAATGGTGGCATTCTTTTAATATTCAGCTTCAATTTAGTTACTGCCAAAATACCCGTCATCATTTAGAGTTTATTTGATTTGTTAAGCAAGATTTCTTTTCATTGGTGTGTTGGCCAATTTAAAGGCTAAGTGCATGTAGACCTATAGAGTGCTGAGATGTTACGATGTTACAGAGGACTTATTTTATTTCTTTGTTCCAACTTTCAAGTGGGATATAGTCTACGTTTGTTACGAATAAATGCTGTTAAAACATATAAATGACTCATTCTTGAAAAAATGCATTAGAGCTGTAAGGGCTCGGGCTTTATAAAGCTGTCAATCAAAATGTACGTGTCGGACTCGGGACCTATCGGGTATAATTTTTATGGCCCGATTACAGCTCTCTGCATTCCCGCGGGAGCCGGCCAGATTTCTTACGGTGTGGGAGTAAATTTCTGAATAAATTGCGGGAGAGATGTGTGTGTGTTTGTGTAAGACAGAGAAAGTCTGTCTGTCTGTCTGTCTCTCTGTCTCTCTGTCTCTCTGTCTCTCTCTCTCTCTCTCTCTCTCTCTCTCTCTCTCTCTCTCTCTCTCTCTCTCCCCAAGGTCGCATAGAAGGTATTCAGTTTCTGAATGGTTTAGGCTCAAGCCAACAGTTTGGTGACGCTGTCTGAGCCTTACGTCATAATTTTTTTTATTACGCCGGTAATACCGGATACCGGGGTAAAATATGGAGGCGGTTTGACGGTCTCAAAATTTGGACACCGCCCAAGCCTATTGTACATTTACATATCACACATTGAAACTTCCTTTGAATAAAATATATATGCTGTCTTCAAAAATAAAACATGCCATAATATCCTCTAAAGTCACTTTGCAGGGAACTTGTCAAATAAGAACAAGTGTCTGAAGTGAAAAGAAAACCATAAGAAACGTGCAGTTCAGTGGGCACAAGAAACAGGATTGTGAAATCAGTCCAGAGCTTCTTAATCTTGGCCCTGGAGGTGCAGTGTCCTGCAGATTTTAGCTCCAACCCAAATCTAATGGGGCTGGCTAATCAAGCTCTTAATAGGCTTTCTAGAAACATCCTTTTTTTGGAGCTAAAATCTGCAGGACACCGGATCTCCAAGATAGAGTATAAGAACCCCTGCGCTATTCTATATCAAAGTCCCTTTAAGTCAGGGGTGTCCAAACTCAATTCCTCGAGGGCCGCAGCTCTGCATCATTTAGCTCCAACCACTTCCAACTCACACCTGCTTAATAGTCTATAGTAGTCTTGAACACCTTGTTTATTTTAATCAGCTGTTTAATTAGGGTTGAAACAAAACTGTGCAAAGCTGTGGCCCTCCAGGAAACCAGTTTGAGACCTATTCTTCAAGGCAAGTCAGTTCACTCTGCAGCCATCTTTGAAACGCCTCTTGGGCACTATGCTCAGGCATTCTGTCTGAATATGGAAACATCCAATTATAAAAAATTGCTTGCCAAGCTTAGGATTAAATTTCATATTAGGAATTACAATAAAATTAAACAATAACGGTGTCTTTAGTTTTAGTTCTAAAACGTTCTAATCACACAAAATCTTCAGAAACTCATGGCTGGTCCGAATCCCTCCCACAGAGGGAGTTAGTCTATAGTCTATAGCGATAGCTGATATAGAATAGCGATAGCTGATTGGCTCCTGTACTAGAAGGCAGGGCTTCATTCACCATGAAACTACACAAGTGACAGGTTGTGTAGTCTATAGTCTTTGTCTATATGCACATATCTTATCATACCCTTTAAGGCAGGGGTCTCAAACTCAATTTACCTGGGGGCCGCAGGAGGCAAAGTCTGGGTGAGGCTGGGCCGCATAAGGGATTTCACAAAAAAAGTCCTCAAATGTCATTATTAACAGTTTTAATTATTTCTTCTGAACATGAAGTGTCCTGGACATTAATAGAACATTGAGTGAAGATTATGAACAGTTCTTCTGAACATGGCATCTTTTGCCTACTTCTTGCGGCCAGAGACTTGACAGCGCTTCTTCTCACAAATCTTATATATGTATATATGTGTATATATATATATATATATATGTATAAATAAAACACCCCCACCCCACTCCAGTCACATCAGTCTGTACCAGTCTGTATCTACCTATAATATATACAAGATGCAGGCTGTAGCTAGGTAGGTGGCAGGCTGCAGATAGGTAGCTAAGTGGCAGGCAGGGGCGGGAACAGCTTACCTTGGTTCTGGCCGGCACGAGATCCCTCCCTGCCTGGTTTATACTTCTGCGTCAAGTGACCGGCGCAACTCACGGCGCAGGCAACGCGCGCAGCTGTGCATTTAAAGTATAAATGCGCAGAAGTATAAATGCACAGCTGCGCGCGTTGCCTGCGCCGTGAGTTGCGCCGGTCACTTGACGCAGAAGTATAAACCAGGCTTCTGCGCGCTGTCTCTGTTGGTCTGCATTAACACTTCCGAAACGCTAGTGGGCAGTGAGGTGTAAATGTTCCTCTGTGTCGAGTTTCTTCGCTTCTGTTTTGCTATTCTGAACACTTCCTGGATGTACAAGTGACTCAAACTCGCTCATTTTGAGGCAGGAACCGGCGGACGGTTCCAACAACTTTTACCATGAGGTAAACACAGAACAAAACTTTCCATCCGGAGCTCCTTCACAGGACTCCACACTTGTAAACAATCGCTCGCGCCATTCTCGCTGCTCTCGGTCCCGCCCAGACTCGTCGGCGCTAGCAAGCCGACCAATCACAGAGCTTGCGCTACGCGTCGTTACAACGTGTAGTTACAATTTTTGAGAGGTGCACGTCAGTGACGGCGACGGCCACGGCGAAGGGCTATGCGTCAGCGACGTAGCCTACGCCGGTGTTTGACGCAGAAGTAAAAATCAACACTTCCCGCCCGTCACAGCGTCTAACAAAGGGGCGGGGTGCGTGGTGACGTCACCGGCATCCCCGCCCCTTTGTTTACACGGCAGGCGGGGAATGCCAGTGACCGCTGTGTACGGATAGAATCAGCGGTCGGCGCGGGCCACAAAATATTGCACTGAGGGCCGCAAATGGCACGCGGGCCGCGAGTTTGAGACCCCTGCTTTAAGGTGAATTGTTTTCTCACCACAAACCTAGGGCTTGGCGATAAAACCATATTTATTGTAATAATTTTTCCCTCTGTAAAACAACACGTTATAAATGTTTAACATAATAGTGGAATACATTAGCATATCATAACTGCATTGTTCCTTTGCACAACATAGATTGTTTATCCATTAGCACAAACAGCTGCTCGAGTTTGTTTGTATGTTCACATGCTAAAGGCTCTTGCTCATTAGGTTGGATGTTTGTCATCTTTGACAATAAAATTTAGTTTTACAATTTACTATTCTGGTTTTTGGAACTTTCTCCCAGAGGCTATAATCTGCACTTTAACTAAAGAAATAGACATTTTTTTTTGATAATTATTGATACTGACTCTGATGTAAACAATTTTAGCATATTAACATGGCCATACTGCCCAGTCCTATATAAACCACCGCATCATTTATTTTCAAGCGTCTCAAGACCACTTGCAGACCAATTGAACAAGGAATAATTTACAATAGACCATTGAATTTAGGCATAGAATGATAACCATTTTCAAGGTATACCGCGGTATGAAAAAGTCAAGGTTTTAAAACCATCAAATTTTTTTGCAATACTGTTGCTAAGGTGATGTGTAAGATTGTTTATTTACATTTTTCTTGATTTTTTTTGGACAACAGTTTTTCCAGCATAAAAAATATCCAAAGATGCTGTTTTTAACTGTAAAAAAAAAAGTGTTTTTGACATAAGTGAAGACAGCAGAAGTCAATGATTCATTTGAATTATTTAGTCTGAAGTTTACTGTTCCAGAATATTTTAAATGTTTCATAACATAAAATATATTGTGTTCAAAAGGGATTTTTTTGTTTTGTTTTACCCCGACATTTAAAAAGAATATATTATTTTAGAGCAGTAATCACAATACCATGAAACCGTGCAATTTTTATCAAAGGTTATCATATAGTCAGAATCTTATACCAGCCCATGCGTATTTAATTATTCAAAAATAATGCACAACCAAGGTGGTGATGCGGCCACAATGCAAAGCAGATGTGCATTATTTTCTAATTTAATGAATAAACCAGAGTAAATTATTCCACTTGTACTATGGTTTCCAGACTGAAAGACGTAATTTAAGACATTTGAGAGTTTTTTTCCATTAAACAGCTCTTGTGTGTTAAACTACTAAAGTCTTGTGCATACCAACTCATTATTTGATTTGTGACACTTGCAGCTTGTGAAACCATTCAGCATAATGATATTGAACTATAATGCTGTCTGGAACTGCTTTAGCCGTTTAAATAATTGAAAACTGAAAATAATTGCACACCTTAGAATGTTCATCAGACAATCAGAATCAAAAGTAGTATATAGAGGTAAAGTTGGTTTTATATTTGGATATATTTAGACATTCTCCTTAATAATAACATTTCAGAAAAGTATTCTTTGCTAATTCTAAATAGGGAAATCATATTAGCAGCAAATGACTATTAAAGTACAACACTGTTCACACAGATAGTGTAAATGTTGTTTAGAAGTCATATTTCCATGCTAATTCCGATTGAATATTCAAGGCAGGATGGTAAACAATATAGGGACTGCTAAATGAACGAATGTGCGAATATAAAACTAACTTTACCTCTACAAGTAACGTTACTATAACTCTGAATAAACGATTCGCCTTATTACAAAAGCTTTGAATGAATTAAGTGCAGAAACGAACAATTTGTTGTTGGAATCTCACAGCATTGAACAGAAGTGACATACTGACCGTTTATAACATGTTCCGGGGATATAGTTTTCTTTTCTGATTTATTGCAGATCTCGTTGGCCTCTGATGAGACGAGGTGAATGAACTCTGTGCAGCAGTTTACCACCAGCTCTCTGGCATCGTTCGCTACCCGCACATTGGGAAGCGTTTCTTTGATCATTTTATTGATCGCCGCCCTCGGGATGGTCAGATCATCGTCGTTCCCCGAAGAAGATGCCATGAGGGATGAGCAGCCGAGACGCTTCTGTGTTTGAAGGAGTCAAACCAGGAGAGGAGGCTCAACGGCTTTGTTGATGATAAAACACCGACAGCAGCGGCGGCTTTGTGTGGAGACTCAGATGGTGCGGTCGGTTTTCTCGGAGCAGATCACGAAAGGCTGGGAATACACACACGTGAACACATTTGAAAATCCGAAGACGTCGGTAAGACTGTGAGTGTTTGGCACAAGGAAGGGAGGAGGATGAGAGTCGGTACCTTTCGGTTTGATCAGTTTACGCTGACTCTCCACATCCACACATCAGTGCTGCTGCTTTTGCTGTGCACGTTTATAATCATGATTCAACTCCAAACATTCATTCTCGAGCCGCCCGGGTAACTGAACAGATCCCGCGCTTATTAGACTAAAGCACGGGGAGGAATGTTTTAAGCACCCGAATCTATTAATTCATTACTTCACCCGCTCGGTTAGCGATCAACGAAACGAACCCCACAATGCAACACTCCCGGATATCCGGTAATTCTTCTGCTTGTTATTGTTTCGTGGTGTTGCTCGGCATTGCCGCCTACTGTACAAAAATGATGTTACAATTTATGCGCATGTTTTCTGCTAAAAAAACAAACTGGCAAAAACTTTTTTTATTGTTTCAAGCTGAACATACAAATAAAATGGAACATATTTACAATATTCCATACTGTCATCTCAAGGTTGAGTAATAAAATAGGCAAACACAATATACATCGAAAGAATAAAACGACCAGTTTTTGTTAAATGAATTGCAATAAAATAATAAAGGAGCTTAGAAAATTAAATTAGCTTATAAAAATCCCAAAAATAGATGAGGTTATGGGCTTTTTTATCATTCAACAATTTTACAGATTCGCACAAAAGTTTTACCTCATTCACTGATTAAAGGAGTAGATTTAACCCATCTGCATTTGTGAATAAAGATTTTTCCCAAGCATAATAGAACAATGACAGCAAAATGAAAATTCTTTGTTTTCAAAGATACCAAACTTAACTGTTTTTGAGGGGAGGGAAATATACAGTCCTGGGGCCTCATGTATCAACGCTGCGTATGCACAAAAACTTTGCATACGCCAGGTTTCACGCTCAGAATCGCTCACGTTTGGATTTACTAACGATGAACTCAACGTGGGAATGTGCACGGCTCCACGCCAGCTTTATGGCTGGCGTACGCACATTTTTTGTGCGTGTCTGTTTTATTTCCATTGGCGACTCGACAGTTGTGTTAAATTGCACTCTACAAAGTGTCTTTGAGCCTTGCAATGGCAGCTGTAGGAGACGGGTTCATCTAGCAGGTATATAAGATTTCCATAACATACAGTTGACCAGCCAAACATTAAAGAGCAATTTGCAGCGGTCGCCTGTTTTCCCATTGTAGTGGGGGCGATCTACTTCACGCACATTGCTATAAAGGCACCAACTGAAGATGAATTTGCACGCATGAATCAGAAACATTTCCATTCAATAAATGTGCAAATAAAATATGATGCACAGACTTATTAATGATTCCTACTTGTCTTTCTCGTGATAAATAGTAGGCAAAATCTGATATGCTGGAAAAAAAAGAAGAATGAGTTCATCAGACGCTGGATTCGAACCGAGTTCATGCTCGAACGTGTCAAAACATGCTACTTTGCGTTTTACGATCTGTGCCACTGAGACTATTAAGGGTATTACAACATTTTACACCTATAAATCACACTATTTCTCTTTTAACTCCACAGTGCGTTGTTCAGATCCAACTCTGTTAACCGCATCAGCTAAACTCTCCCCACTCTATTTTTTCTTTTGTTGTTAATTCCGGAGGACAAACTTGCAAATAACACAGTTTTCCTCCGGTCTACCTCCGAAAGCAGCACCTTCAATTCACATTCTGTTCAAAGATTCTCTTTTTTCTTGCTTTTGCCTTTGCTTTTTCGTTGGGTTTTGCCAAAGTAGAGTCATTAGCATATTCATACGAGTGAGGAGGCAGGGAGGGGTTTTGTGCTCGTGCATGTTGTGCTCAGATTCACGTTCATTCGGATGTACAAAAGAATATGCGTGGGATTCGATGTACGCAGTGTTTCATACATCTGAATTTTTTTTCTGTAAATGTGCGTACGCAATGTTTTAGTATGATTTCCACGCAAGTCTTCGTACATGAGGCCCCTGGGGTAATGTAAAAGAGAGCGACGTTCGTCTGACAGGTCCATTTGTGATAGCACCCTTCCAATGGATATTGGATAAGACAATATGGCCAAGCATCTAGCCCGAAATATACAACTATCTCATTGAAACTCCAAGTATTTTTACAAGAGAGAAATTAAAGGCCTGCAAGTCTTTGGATGCCTGCAATTTTGCTCTGTGTGGTCATGTGCAAGAAATAATGTTCCATGATGACCAGATTCAAAACTTTGTAGTGCTAAAAACTGAGGTTCTGCCTAGCCAAAGACAGGGAAAGAAGACAGAACTGTACAGAGCCAAGGTAATCAACTGCTTTTTGTCAGTGAACTGCACCCGTTTGGCATGGTAGGTGAACTTACATTTTTTTTTCATTTTATTCTAAGCATTCAGTGTCTGCAGTTTATTGTTGGAATTTACAATCAATTCCATGCGTGTTCAAGAAAAAAGGTCAGAAGAGCTTTTTCTTCGATTTCAAAAATCGTAACAATTTTTGAAACCGCCCAAACGTCTTGCCCAGCCGTCACCACCCAGACGTCTTGACCAGCCGGCCCCAGCCCGGCTCCTTGCCCTGTCGGCACCACCCAGACGTCTTGGCCTGCCGGCACCACCCAGACGTCTAGCCCTGCCAGCCCCACCCAGACGTCTAGCCCTGCCGGCCCCAGCCCGGCTCTTTGCCCTGCCGGATCCAGCCCGGTTCCCTGCCCTGCCGACTCCCCACAGGCCTCCAGTCCAGCTGCCTCCAGCCCTGCTGGCTCCCCTCAGGTCTTCAGTCCAGCCGGCTTCAGGCCAGCTGCCTCCAGCCCTGCCAGCTCCCCTCAAGCCTTCAGTCCAGCCGGCTTCAGCCCAACCGCTTCCAGCCCTGCCGGTTCCCCAAAGGGGTTTGGTTCTGCCACTCTGGTCTTGTAAATTCTTGTTTTGGTAGCAGAATCCGGACACTAGTCATGTCTAGTCCTGTTGTGCTCGGCTCGAGTTTTCTTGGGTCAAGCACTTGTTTCTGTCATTGTGTGTCTCTGTGTGCGCGCGCCGTTGTGGGTGTACGCATAGTGTGCGTGCTCCCGCTTGATGCGGCCGCGCGGGCTTTGCGTGCCTCAGACGCGCGCGCTCTTGTACTCGTGTTTGTGTTTTCGTCTGTCTGCAGCGTGGTGTTTCATTCCCAGCGTCTCAGTCTAGTTGGTTTCGGTTTTGGTCGGCGCTGGGATAAAGCATGCACGCTGCGTGTGTGAGCGCACGGTGAGTGTTTTCATTCATCGTGTGCTCGTGTCTTGCGTCTGTTGTCAAAGGACGTGGCTATGTGTTTACATTGTGGTCACGTGCTTTTGTCGTGTGCTTCAGTGTTGTGTTTGTGTTGTCATGAACATGCGGTTAATGAGTTCTCTCATTGGCTGCATGTTCTTGTCCTGTTTTATGTGAGCGCATGGCTTGTCTTGTCTCTGTGTCATGCGCTCTCCCGTCTATTGTCTAGTCCCACCCTCCTTGTTAACCCATTATTAGTTAATTGTGTTCACCTGTTTGTGTTAATTTTCTACTGCTTTATAATCCCCTCATGTTTTCTGTCCTGTGCCAGTTCGTCGTCGATCTTTCCCTATCCCTAAAATGGCCTAAGACCTCAATACATTACAGATATGCTCACTGAATACAAACCCAACAGATCACTCAGATCTTTAGGATCATATAAACTACAAGTTCCAAGAGTTCAGACAAAGCAGGGTGAATCTGCCTTCAGCCACTATGCCCCCCGCTGCTGGAATCAGCTTTCAGTAATGATCAGATGTGCTCCAACATTAGGCACATTCAAATCAAGACTGAAAACACATCTGTTTAGCTGTGCTGCGTCCGACAGATTGCTCTATTATGTTTTTCTCTTCTTCTTCATTCTTTTATAAATCACATTTTACTTGTTTTTATTTTTTTATCAGTTTTATTATTTGTTTTTATTTATTTATTTTTTTAATTTTTTTTATTCTTGTTTATGTAAAGCACTTTGAATTGCCACTGTGTATGAAATGTGCTATATAAATAAACTTGCCTTGCCTTGCCTTATCCTGCTGTATCCAGTCCTGCCTTGCCTTGCCTGCCCAGTCAACGACAATGGAAATGCATTCCTTGTTTGCCAGGCTGTGAAATATTGAGACCCAGACTATACTATATGAATATCACATTATAATAAAAAAAGGCAAACATTTGTGTGTGAGTGTAGGATGATCAGAATTGATGATCAGACTTGCATCTATGTTATTGTCTGATTTGTTTATTGTATGATGCACAGTTTTTCTTATGTAACCATTTACAAAAGTCTGCAAGTGTGCATTACCTTGTGCTTTTAACTCAGACTCAAAAAAAAAAAGGTCCAGTCCCTGATGGCATATTTACAATAGCCGCAACAACTGTGGTGTCTACCCTCATCTGTTGACCTCAAAAAAAGGTATTTTGAAGAATATTTCTAATGTTTTTCAGAATTTTAAAGAATTTACTGCCATGTTGTTTTTCTACTGTGGAAGTCAAGTGCTACAGTTCAACATTTTTCAAAATATAGTATTTTATGTCAAACAGAAAAAAAGAAACTTACAAATATTTGGAGCCACTTGAGGGAAATTAAATGGTGAGTAAATAGTATTTTTGGATAAACTATCTATTTATAGTTTTTGTTTTAAGACAGGAGCTCATATGCACCTCTTCGAAGAAGCTGCTCCCTCAGTATCTTATGAATTTTCATTGAGGTGATCTCTGTGGCCGACTTTAGTGCTATAGTTAAAGTTGTATTACATCATGAAACTGTGAACTTAGATAAAGTCCACAAAGATCTAGGCCCATTTCCACTGAGCAGTGTTCTTTAGAATGGTACAGTGCAATATGTTACACATTTTTGTCCTTTCTACTGTAACAAGTACCAAAATCTGAAATAATGAACTTGAGTTCACAACAAACATAATGTTTGAACAGCCTGTAAGGTTTTATTCTTCAAGCTAAAATGACATTGTTTGCAACATTCTGGGGTACACCATGCCAACAAAATGGGTATCATTATCAGTGGAAAAGAATGATTAGGGTGACCCCTACTGTACTGAACAATACCACTTAGTGGAAACAAGGTATAAGAGTGCCAACTGGGATTGAGCCAAAATGGCTGTGCACCATTGCAGGTTTATTCTGCTCCTGAAAGGCCAGCATGCAGCACAGTTTACTGAAGATTACAGCCAATAAATTTTGTCAGTTCTGTGAGTTTTAGAAATGATTTTGCTGTGTACTAAATCCAACCTATCCCAAAAGTACATTTCACATATTCACGTCATTCCGCATATTGAAGCTAGTCCTCCATTG